GAGATCAGTCCCAGTCCCCAGCACGAGGGAACACTGGCACAGTGTTAGTACTCAGCTCTCTCAGAGTTATAACTTCTTCTCTGGATGAAATTTCTTTACAAAGGTGTTAAAGTCTCTCAATTGCAGAGAAGCTTTAACAAGTTTCTCACAAGGCCAACATTATGAAGTGTTTACAAATCCTTTATTGAAAGCAGCAAACCAATTTGTGGATGTTTTATAGAGCTGTCATCTGTAAAACATGTCTGAGTTCTCATTTTAACACTTGGCTTGTTTTTTTTTTGCTACTTTTGTGTTTCTGGAAGAAAATAACCTATACCTATTGTTTGATAATGCACCTGTTGAATACAATATATTAATTATTTTATATTATCATTATTCTTGATTTTTTTTTGTTCACGTGTATGGAAGCTGAAACTGGGCCACAGTTGTTCACATTTGAAGCTTGTTAACAGATATGCAAGTGGTGTCAATAAATCCTCTTCACAGTGGCCTTTTTCACTCGAATTATGTCAACTGAGGTGTTACTAATCACATTAATTATGGCTTTACACCTTAAAGGACAGGATGTCATTAGGAACACCTGTGGTTGCCAAGTTTTTCCGCTGCATCACAATGACTGCATTTAAATCGGTCAATGTTAACCGTTATTCACTAACAAGGAAAATATTCACTCACCAGCCACTTTATTAGCTACAACCTTGCCAGTACCCAAGTGGACCTTTCAGAAGGTCCTTAATTTTGGCACAGATTCAACAAAGTGCAAAGAAACACTCCTCACAAATTTGGTTGCTGACATGACAGCATCACACAGCTGCTGCAGATTTGTCGCCTGCACATCCACGATGAAAACGCCTGTTCTGCTACATCCCAAAGGTGCTTTGTTGCACTGAGATGTGCTGAATGTAGTAAATGGTAAATGGACTGGTACGCATATACAGTAGTACCTTTCTGCTCAATTGGAGCAATCAAAGCTCTTTCTAGTACTCAATCACACACATAATCATTCAGTGGTTTTATCTATTACTCACACACTCACACAAGACATCGAACCCCCCTCAACTCATGGTTCAATATCTTGCCCAATGATTTTTCAACACATGGACAGGAGGAGCCGGGGATCGATCCACCTTCCGATTGGTAGGCGACCAGCTCTACCACCTGAGCCACAGCCACCCTTTAATGGGCCTGTGGAAGCCATTTGAGAAATCATCACTGGACCCAAAATTGTCATGTTTAAGAAACCAGTTTGAGATGATTTGAGCTTCGTGACACAGCGCACTATCCTGCTGGAAGCAACCCTCAGCAGATGGATGCACTGAGGTCATAAAAGGCAGACTTGGTCAGCAACAATACTCAGGTAGGTGTGTTCTTTCAGCAATGGTCAGTTGATACTAAGGGGCCTCATGTGTGTCTCTAATATATATGCTCCACACCATTACACTATAACCAGCAGCCTGAACTCTTGATACAAGGCAGGATGGATTTGTGCTTTTTACACCAAAATGTGATCCTACCATCTGAATGCTGCTGAAGAAATTGAGACTTGTCAGACTAGGCGATGTTTTTCCAGCCTCTTGCTGTCCAGTTTTGGTGAGCCTTTGAATTGCAGCCTCAGTTTCCTGTTCTGAGCTGGTGCGAGTGGCATCTGGTGTGGTCTTCTGCTGCTGTAGATTATCTCCTTCAAGGTTCAAGGTGTGCATTCAGAGATGCTCTTCTGCATACTTTTGTTGTAACAAGTGGTATTTGAGTAACTGTTGCTTTGCTATCAGCTTGAATAAAGTATTTTCTCCCAGAGAACTGACGCTCACTGTATATTTTTTTTCCCTTTTTGGATCATTCTCTGTAAAACCTAGAGATGGTTGTGCAGGAAAATCCCAGTGGATCAGCAGTTTCTGAAATACTACAGATGGTAAATATATA